ATGGCTTTACAAATTCATCTTATCGCCGTGAATATAAAAGATTGTTAACATTCAAATGGAAAAGAAGGAACACCGATAACTCTGACATCAACGAGCAAAGTCGGTCTCCCTCGGTTGCGATGGCAACTTTAAACCTTGCCACTTTGAATGAAAATGAACATCTGCAGGCGCTAACGAATCACTAAATTTTCCAGATTTACCTCACAAAAGGACAATTAACATCAACAACACCTTCGACGAAAGAAGTAAATTCGCTTTTAGTAGCGATAGTAACGTTATTTACTCTCTTATTCTACAAAGATAAATTTCTGAAAATGTGTTAATGCACGGTTGTATGGTAAAGCGATGACAGAAAAGGGGTGATTGAACAAACACACTGGAAGTGAAAAATATCAGTAAATTTTGATCACTAATGGAAAGTCTTCTCAACTTCTAATCCCGCGCGAAATGATAAAAGCCTTAGAAGATTAAAGGGGTGATGTACTTTCCTCCTAGAGACTGCCAAAAAATAAAAGAAAAATTTTAAAAATTAAAAATAGAAGAATACTGATTCAACATCTAATTCCACGCCAAATAATGGAAGGCTTTGATTATTTTTTCAAAGCGGCAATGTATTTCCTTCCTGAGGGGGACAAAAAAGGAAAAGATAAATTGAAACTGAAAATACAAAACACTGATTCAGGATGTCAAGTAAAATTTATTTGTAGACGCAGATAATACTACGTTGTAAAAGTATGGCCCCAGAGATGCACTGAATAGTCTGAGTAGTCCGCCAACTCAATAGTTTCAACTGTATAATTACTTTTCTTTGCGATTGTTGTCTTGTGGTATGAAAAAATGGTTGAGCTTTTTGTCGTATAAATTTTTTTCTCTTTTTGTTATTCGCTTTACGTTAGGTACATTTTAAAGTCTATCTGCCACTCGAATTGCTTACGAGTTATGATGCGGATGAAAATATAAAATGTTTCTATTAACTGAAAGGGCTTTCCTTTTGTCAGAACTGACCGGCCAGACCATTCCCGTCGCAATGAGAATTTCACTTTTAATCAAAACTGTCCAGCCGATCAGTCAAATCCGTAATATAATGCACGAAGCAGATAGTTTTTTCAGCAAAAACCCTTTGAAAAAAGCAGATTTCATTTGCATCTGTCGAGGGAAGACGATAAGTCGAGCAAAAAGTCAATCAAGGGCCAAATTGATGCGTGATGTGACTGAATTGCATCAAATCATGGATGGCCAGATTGACTATTTTGGCTGCATTGTGCTTCAATTCACTTAATAACGTTGCCAATGAAAGGAAGTTTACTAATGGTACGGTAGTTCTTCAGCACTTCGAGACCGTCATCAGACTTTTTCAATCCTGTGGTGTAACCATTGTAATTAAACGTCTTCAGCAGTACTTTCCCATGGTCCCATGGTACAGTTAATTTGGTCAGTATGTAGTTCTAACTTTTGAGTCTGTGGACGAATTTATATGGTGTTACCATTTAAATGAAACCTCTTGAGTAGTACATTCAAACGGTACTATCTATTTTGTGTGTTGTTTTAACTTTTAAGGCTGTGGATGAGATCCTATTGGGTGTCCATTCGAATGGAACCTCTTCAACAGTTCTTTCACATTGTAATATATTCTTCATTTGACAAAAAAAGAAATTTGAATTTTTTGTCGATTCTTCTGGGAGTGAAAAAACTCAAGCTGTGTGCACAGCCTCCTTTTTTGTTCTTTAATGAGGAGAAGAGTAGGAGGCTCTAAATGCGTCGAGCCTTTGAAGTGGCCGAAACTAAGTATCTGTGTATTGATAAACCCGCGAACCTCTTAACTGAGCCTGCTGTACGAAGATCGCGGCTGTTAGGTCTTGGTTCAGAGATGTATCCTTGCAACAAGCAGCGCATGCTCAGCAAAGATCTTACTCGATTCATGCATAGGTTTTCTCGAGAACGCCAAAAGTTCTGAAAAGCTCCGCTAGCAGAGTTGAAGAGACTAGACAAAAACTTTAAAACAGTAGGCGACATTGTCAATTGGGGTTTTTCCTCATGGTTATCCCTTTTGTTGTCAAGTTTTTCAATGGCCCAGTTTTGTGCTTCGGCGATTGTAGCTTCGTAGTTCTCTTCTAAGAAATTTTGGCGACCAAAATGCATGTGTTTGCATGTTTATCTGAAGTTATAAAGTCAGTTATCGCACAATAAAACAACAGAAAACAATAAAAGCAGGTGGCATTGAATAACAACCAAATTCGGTTCCAAAAAATACGTCAAACGTAAGACTATAGGTTGTTTCACGGCTTATACTTATGGTGCTAATGCTGAGAAAGTAAAAAAAAAAAAAAAGATGAGATAAGTTCTTTGGGGCAGTTTTATCAAAACTACTTAAGAAGCGTCGTTTTAACATCTGCATCGAATATGCAGTTTGATGTTTTTCGTGCATAAGTCATCGTCAAGGAAGTCAACAAGTTGCGGTTTTCAAGTAAAAAGCTGATACGCGGCCATTGAGGTACAATAT